AAAATTAAAAGCAGACATGGTATAATACCTCACAGATCAGAATAAATCTATATTGTCTTCTAAGCTCATATATAAATATAAAGTCAAATTAATTTCCTTTTACATCATATATGAAGATCGCATTCACACACAAATTTAAAAAAATGCATCCCTCAAACTCTGTCTCCTGCACTCTCTCACACTAAGCATGTACAAAACACCCCAGGTAAAACCAACCTCACAACTAAACATGCCATTATGAAGTAGCAGAGTTTGGTAAAAGAAAGCATCATGTTGCAAACCAAATTTGTGATCTGCATTAATTCAAATACGGCTACGCTGCCCACTGGAATGAGCAGAACAGGTAGATCTAAAGACTAAACACGAATAGACACAGTGAGTTGGATGGATGTATAGGCAGGCAGGGCAGCTCTGGCAGTTACTGAAATGCCAATAAATTAATACAATTTCTGCATTAGATAGTGCATTACAGCAGCAACAGCAAATACTATTGCAAACCCTGCCCCTTGCCTTCTCTAATGTTTGCCATGAAGGTCTAGAAACACATTGCTGCAGAATGTTTATACAACAAAGGAAAATGCTTCGAAATAGGACTATTTCTAGTAGAAAATACAAAAAATGACAGTCAAAGTACACAATAGAGTGTCACTGTCACTCACATGAAGCCAGGCCAAGCAGGAGCAACCTCTCAATTTTAATTTTCTTTTTAACAGGTCAGAAGAGTTTAAAAGATCATATTAAACCCAAATCTAATGCACATGGAACTCTCTCCTATGGCATGGCAACGGGAGTGTTCTTTCCTCAGAAATCTGCATGCTAATCCAGATCATTCATTAATGATGTGTATTTCCTATCTCTGCAGCATCTCACGTAATTTCTTAGTGAAGGCAATAGCATTTTTTTCACTAACTGTTAAAATTCCCTGTGTAAGTTTCAACAGCCCTTTCAAGCAAACAAAGCAGCATCAGGAATCACAGACCACGGCAGTGAAGCGCGCTGAGCTTCGTCAGTGAACTCCTTTCCAACAGCCCTCACCACACTGCACACCCGTTCCAAATCACATCTTGCTCTCAATGACATTAAGTGTGTGAAATACCTCACAAGAGGTCTGACAAACTTGGCCTCAGTAAACAAACCTAGTCCCTTGGTAAAGCCTCTAAAATAACTTAGCAGTGTCTAAAATAAAAGCAGGCAGCAGAACACACTAGAAGAGAAAGAAAACAAAGGCTCGTCATAGTTGGACCAAACCCGACCTTTGTGAATGTATTTGGTAGTAACTCACAGACCTTACATCCTGCTTCATCACGAGTTTTGGTCTGCTGGCTCATTCAAATTATAGGTTCAGTGCTAGGGTGAAATAGTAACGAAAACTCAAAGATGAGAAGCAGTCGAGCTGCACTGCATGTGCCCATCAGCTCAGATGGATGAGCCCAACGGCCACTGAGCAACTGAATATATTCTCATTTTTCCTAATCAACACCTGCATGGTTCTAGGTTACATACTGACACCTTCACCTGACATCTGCAGTATGGGACCTTCAACATTTCAATTAAAAGTTAAAAAAACCCACAACCCCACCGGTACTTAATTACTGAGTTTCTAGAGAATAGTAATCAACATTTCACTAAAGGGGAAATTGTTCTAGTTCAGGCAAAGCAAAACCCCATTAAACTGGCCTGGGTTTTTCAGTGAATTTGATCTGGTTACTCTTTGTTAGGTGGAGCTGCGGTGGTGGAAGCCAACACAACCTCTTTAGACTCAGGATTATTATATATCCCAACTCTAGCTGCACAGCAGAGGAAAATGTGAAATTCCAGAAAGCAATTGGGAAAATAAATAAATAAATAAAAAATGAAGCTATCAACCGCTTAACATAAAACAGGTTAGTGCAAAAAATGATGTACCAGAGAAACTCCTTATGGAAAATCACATTTTAGCAAACAGCATTAATTATTCTAAATCTGGAGACAAAACACGAACACACACGGGGAAGTCGCTGAGGTTCTCACCAAAGGATGTAGGTGTGTACATGGCACAGGTGTCTGAAGTAACGTACCTGCTCCCAGCTCCCTGTAAACTCACAGCTCACATGGCTGCAGGGCACCAGCGACTCCATGCCACGGTGAGGAGAGACGCGCGGTAAGGCATCTGACCA